TACATCCGGTCTTTCAGAAAAAGCGTGATATCATGCCTATCTCATAGGTATCTGAAATTTGATCTCCTCACACAACGTCACCTTCCGGAAGGCAGATATCACGACGACTTCCAGACTCATATCCCCAGATGTCAATACGGTGGGAGCTCCAGCCAGTCGTGTCGCAGTACATCAAATTTTGAGAGGCAGTAAAACACCGAATTGGTCTTGGCCGCAGTCTACGGATCTTTAAATAGGTGCAGATGGAACATTGTGTATTAGAAGCTGATGTTAAACGCGCGTAACGCCCCGGCAATTTTGCATTCAAGCTTCCTGAATACTCCCTGGTCCTGGAGGGCATTCCACAGCCCTTCGCATTGAAGTTCACAAAACAAAACAATATACGTGAGCAAACATATTTTTCCAGATAGTTTACTCACGTTACCATGGACGGTGTGATATTCACGGATGGCTGCTCTTATACCCAAACCAAGGTGTACCTCAACAGTTCCATTGAAGGGGATAGAACAGCTCATCCAGCTAGTTATGTGCTTGCAATTGTTACAAGTTGGTAGAGCCATTCGAAATGCGCAGCAAGTAATGCGAATTACGTGTGCGATTAATTTTTTATTCTTCCAACCGAGGACAGTTTCGTACTCTGCTCCCGTGACACACTTTTGATTCGTCCACCCCTATGTTCCACAGCTTAAAACAGTCCCAGCATTTTTTTCAACACCGCTTTCAATAGAGATCTTGTCCTCTCCACCAAACTGTCTCAATCTCAAGCCGGCTGGAGAACAGTTGTCAATTAAAGGTGTTCCGTTTGATCGCCATAAATGAACACAGTTGTGAGATGCATATTGCCAGATAGGCTTCCTCGGTGAGCACATTTTGCGGGTTCAGATAGTCGATAGAAAGTCATGTCAGTCAACAGTCTGGCAAGATGGAATACAAACCTTGGTCAGAAAGCTTCACCAAGTTAACTTTCTTGGTTGGGGACTTCGGGATCAACCGTATCCAGGATCCAAAACATCGAGTGATGGGGATAAAGGTCAAGAACAATGGTAATGATGCATCTGCTCAGGTTGTGCACTCATGTAGTTTACCTGCTTTCTAGATCTGGTTCTTGACTTTAGTTTATTATGTTTTCCACTTACTCTATTCTCACCGATCCATCAAGTAGCTACTTGGAGAACAGCGACTAAAGGATTCTGTTCTCAATCAATGATGACTAACCATCCACCTCAATGCACAGTCTCCGAGAGCCGCACGAAACGGGTTAGGTTACAAACGTGTGCAACCATCTAGGACGGTCCCGAAGACAGATTTAAGTAAACAGCGCTACTTGGTTCACACATGACAACTTCTATACCGGATCGATTGATTGGACCATGACGACACTGATCTACAATTCACTACTTTAAGACTGTGATGTACCATGTCCAACTGCCCGAATTCCCTATCACCAGACTAATCCAACCAACTGAAGCAGGAAACAACTCGCGGAGACTAAGACTAGTCGAGTATTGCTTTCAATACAAATCCCTCAATCAATGGTCTTCATCTGACGTTCTGGCCTCCCTGCCCAAGCTGAAAACAACTGTTCTGCAACAGGCATGGGCCGTACCCCAGGAAATCACTCGATAATAAGAAGGCTAAAACAGGTTGAGTGTAACCCAGAAGATCAAATCTATTGCAAAGTGAGTACTCTGCAATTAGGCCGCTCCTACTTGGTTTGCTGTGCAAAGTTTGCGAGTGCACTCGAGAATAAAAAGTCCTATCGGCATTGTGGATACCATTTCGTATCGTGTTCACATAAGTTTTTTTTAAATTATTTTCATAAACACACCTGAGTTTAGCCTCTGTCAAATAAAACACGGAACAATAGTCTCTAGAAAAAGAGAAAAGAGTGTAAGATTTTCTCGAGAGTATGATATTGCTAGGATGCCGAGGTCAAAGAAAGTGAATGCTCTTAGGGAATTCAGAACGGGAGCGTTCGGGTAAACAAAGCTTGTTACGCAATGCAGCCAGAGTGTGAAAACCATCGGGGCCGGTGTCTAGTTCATCAGATCATACACCCTCTGGACGAGGTCAAACGTCCAAGGTACCAAATACACCTTGATCCCCAATCGGGCCGGTAACCACTAGCACAATCAGGAAGGTGTGTGTGGCTCGTTGGTTTGGAATCAGGGTTTTCAGCCAATTGCCCTAAGTGAACTGCCAGGGGTTCCGTGACCCGACCACAGCCCCGGATTTTGGCTTCAAGTCCTCTCATTTTGATGGAAAACACCTCCGCTACGAGAAGGGCTTCCTCAGCAGAAGCTATTCGAAAGGTTTGGTCGTGTTTTGTGAGGTGCAAGGGAAGAGTGACCATCCGCAACCCGAGACACCTACGCCCGACCGTATTAGGGCTTTCACGTAGGTGTTCCACGGATAATTGGACGAAAGCGTAAAAATCGTGGATGAACACAGTGAACTCGATTGTTGAACCTGTTGACGGGGTCTGAGGAATCCACCTATGGAACCGCAATCTCCGAACTGCTCAAAAAGACAGTACACCTCCAGTAGGTAAGAGGCGTAAAAAGTTGAATAGTACCGATGGAATAGACGCATAAATCCAGTGAGATGATCGAAAAATTTGTTTCACAAAAATGATCCTGAAATTTAAGTCAGGATCATCCGAAGTAAAACAATCTGGTGAACAATACATTAGTGTCACAAGAGAATACGGTAGTTCGCCGTGAACCACGTACAAATCAATTGCCCTGAAACGGCACAGCCCTCTACATTCTTCACCCTGGAAATAGCACTGAATACAACGAGCAACAGTTGGTATTTTTCGCGCAAACACAACCACCACATTTTGTTTGTTCTGGCCTCGCATTTCACAATCTGAAACTTCATTCATCATGAGCTTGACCGAAATGGACGAGAATGATGCAGACACAAAAAGTACATCAATATTTGCGGCCGACCTCATGCCAATGCTGATCTGTCTTGCTTTCCTTCTCGCCTCGTGGAACAATCACCAGTGAGTCGCACTGCTGCTGTACGGACGAAATAAGCCGGTCGCTGAGGTTCAAAGCATGACTCAAGGATCATTGTACTGTGTGTGTACCACAGACACACACACACACGGACTTCAGTTGATTCCTTTGCGATTCCTGGAAATCGACCACCGGTACTGTGTATTTCCCAGCCCCTGTGTCTCAAGTTTTCGAAAAGGCGTAAAAAATTTGAAGATGATACTGATCTGAGCTGACCATTCTTCAGACTTCACCTTCACACNACAATCATCGGTTCATCCAGTCAACCATATACACTCGGAAGCACTAGACTCGAGTTTCGCTCTTATTAGAGCTCACCAGTTGTGCATATCCACCGTCCATCGTCCTGGCTTTGAACTCCGGACGCATCGCATGGAAGGCGTGTGTGTGTTACCACTACTGTGCTAACCAGCTCATACCAGAGCAGAACGGAATTGTCAATTTATCTTCAGTGTTGGTCAGTCAGTTCACTGTTAGTGACAGCAAGGAAGATGGACAAAGTTGACTGCCTGTTAACTCCAACCGAAAGTCTCCCATCAAGTCAGATCTTCCATGCAGGTTACGGGCTGACTTGCCACTAACCTGCTAGGC